AAATTATGTAACAATTAAATTTAACTAAATTCAAAAAATTACTGCCGAACATTTTTCGCGACGCGTTTGCTTTGGAGTGTGCAGTTTACCGCCAGTCGACGGGAACGACACGCCGCCCGACAATCCCCGCGCCGACCCATTCACACAGCGTGTGGAGCGACAGATAACGGTTCAGGGCGTGTCCTGGCGCGGGACTCCACACTCCATGTAACTGCTCATATACCAGGCCCGTGGCCCGAAAATCGGCGCGCCGACCCAATCACATGGAGCGTGGAGCGGCAGTCGACGGTCCAGGCGCGGCGCTCCACGCGCCGTGTAATGGCACCTTATCATAATCTCTACACTCCATAGAAAATTCCTAATTTTTAGCCGACCATATCAATAGGTATGGTAGGCTATTAAGATCGGCAAAAAAAAGTTTTTTTAATTTCACTCAAAATGAGTTATTTGGGTCATAAATGACTAAATACAAAATATTTTCATAGTGTCTGTCTGTCTGTCCGTCTGTAATACGATAACTCAAAAACCGCTAAACCAAAGATATTTAAACTCGGGAGATACAACGATCCATTCATAAAACGCTCTAAACCTTCATCACACATTGGTTTGCGAAAATCAACGAGTGCGAGAGAGAATGGACAAAGAAGGGAATAGGGTATCGGCGCAACGGCAACAATGTCATTGTAGTTGTTTACAAAGATTAGACGGTTGAGGTCAATTTCCAGTGGCGTGCCGATCGACCGACAGTATTTTAAGGAAATTAAAATAATTGTTTAATAAATTTTAAAAAATAATAATAACACTTACATATTTGTCGCATTGTAAAAAGTTGAGGGAGGATATTAATAGGAAAAAAAAATAAGTTGAGGGAGGATAGCGAAATAAATAAAAACCGGCATAATTTTTTATTATAAGATGGCTTTTCACATAAGAATAACGATTAAAAAAATCAATAAGCGTTTTTTAAATGCAGTTTCAATATCTTGTTCCATACCTTGTTCATCTCCGGTGAATGAGACTCCCTCTATTAGCAATAACAAAATAAAATAGTTATTATAAAATAGTTATTTTAACCTAGTAACACAATATTTTACCAAAAACTAATATTTGTAGACTTCACATATTTTTGATAAAAACTTTATTATTATATGTATATTTATTATATACCTATATGAATTTTACAGCTACTAAAATGTGTGTCTAAAGGGATCGCGCCGCGATTAAAAAACCGATACAATGACACTAAGTACCAGAGTGGTGCGGCCCCAAAAACAAAATAGAAAGAAATTAAATTATAAAAATAAACAGAATTAAAAAAAATTAAATTAGATAAAAAAAAGTGAAAATATAATTTTATCAAGGATGAGCGGAGATAAGCAGAGAGGCATAACGAAACAATGTAACCGGAACAGCAACCAATGACGGGCATATCAGAAGAACAAGAACATCACAAATTTTTTAAATGATTTATTGTTATGAATTTAGTAAATGATTTTTAATTTGTTTTTTATAATCTGTAAAGGATTGAAATTTAAAGTTATTAGAAATATTATTCCACAAATGTGGCGCTATGAAACTGAAAGATTTTTGGAAGTTAGCTGTTCGGCGACTGTTCGGTGTTGAGGAATTTTAAAATAATGCACTTGCCTAGTCGAATGATCATGGTCAACATAGTGAAACAATGAGAATAGGGAATGCAATCCCGCACCAAAATCTCAATCCCGCAGACTTGCGGGATTAAAGCAATCAATCCCGCGGATCCGCAAAATTGCGGGACTGTAAACAATAATCCCAAGCTAAACTTGGGTCTTTATTCTCTTTGTAAACTACACTGACACTCATTTTAGCGATTAACTGGGTTACATTCGACGTAATACTATACGTAATACGACGTAATAATAGTGTACCAATTTGGTTAAGAATCTTTTTTACCGAAAATTTACAATTTTTGAAAAATTGAAATTTTAACTATGTACAATTAATCTGTATTGAAATTAGAAAAAAGAATTTGGTGTTTTTTTTTTTTTTTAAATTTTTTATTTTAAGGAAAATACGAGGCTTTTTCGAAAAATATGCATTTATAGTCATACATTTGGTCCTAAATGGTACAAAAGACTTTGTACATTTTTCATGGGCCCACAATATTGATATAGCGTGTATCTTAAACTAGCTGTACAGAAATTTGGACCGATGTATACAGGGTGTTCAAAAAATATATTTAATATTAAATAAACTTAAATGTAATTATAATTTATGTATTTATTTTATAAATAAAAATATTATTTTGATGTTGAATTTTGAGAGTTTTTGAGAGTTGTTTTTTTAACTTGTATTAGCTATCTGCTTTTAGATACACTCTATATCAATAATTTTTTGGCATATGCAGAATGTACAAAGCTTTTTGTACCATTTAGGACCATACGTATGACTAAAAATGCATATTTTTCGAAAAAACGTCGTAATTTATTTCAAACAAAAAAAATAAAAAAAAACGATCAAATAGTTTTTTTCTAATTTCAATACAGATTAGTCGTACTTTGTAAAAATTTCGATTTTTTAAAAATTGTAAAACTGCGGTACAAAAGATTATTGACCAAATTTTCACACTCTTATAAAACACCCTGTATACGAGAATTCGCTAAATATATTTTCGAAAACCACATAGCATCTTAATCACAATAGATGCATCTAAAACCTGGTCCAAACCGTATCCCAAAATCTTTTTTAGTTCAAGAGATATTCAACTTTAAATTTACCCTAAAATTTTGCTTGTCCCGATAATTATGTCCGGCAGTTTATTTGACGAAATTGCCCACACGTACTAGTTAAACGCTTTTCTTCACTTACTCACATACGCTAGAAAGAAATCTATCAACTAAAATGTTTGTTTCACTTATTTTTAATGGCCAAGCTGTAAGGGAAATCCCCTGGGTTCCGAGCGTCGACGCATCGGCCCGGATTCGGTTACCCAGTAGTAATGTGTCGGTCCCGCAAATCCCGCAGATCCCGCACGGTAAATCACGTAAGCTTGATCCCGCGGAATCTCAGAGGGATCTCGCATTTGCGGGATTGCATTCCCTAAATGAGAACAAATAGGGAGTCTGCTCTGTAGTTAAAATTCGATAAATGAATGTCATTAAATAAATGGAAAATATATATATATATATATATATATATATATATATATATATATATATATATATATATATATATATATATATATATATATATATATATATATATATATATAATATAGTATATATGTATATATAGTATATACAGTCATCAGAAAAGTCTAGCGATAATTTTAGAAAATCATAAATAAAATAAAATGGCGATTGTTTAGTAAACGGTTCTTCCCTTAGTCTTAAAAAATATTTAGTTTTTTTTCTCTGGTTTGCAAAGGAAAATTCATATTGTTTATAAATAATAAAAAATGCATGTGCAAAGAATTTCAATACAATAAAATGTAAAAATACAACAAAATGTAGTAGTCATAAAATTCATGTAGTAATTCATGTAAGTACATTAATTATATGTATGTCAAAAGATGTCCATTTACATTATAGCAACCAAAATTTAAAACAAAAGCCGTATTAAATTGTAACGGCAACAAAAAAGTAAGGCCGCAAAATTCCATTTTTGGTACACCCCAATAAAATTTTCACAAAAGGTAGGTAATGATTTGTCAAACCCAAGTGGGTACCTAGATTATACTTATTCAATACCCTTTCTTAACAGGGAAACAGAAATTGTTATTAAGTTATTAGTAATTAGTACGTACCACATGTACCTTTTTTCTACAAATAATTTAATTAATAAATATATAATTTAAAAAACATAATAAACGGTGAGGGTGGGGGGTTAGTACGGGGGTACGGGAGGGGGTTAAAATTTTAAAAATATCGTAACTCCAAAATTACAGTAGCTAGCGAAACGCGGTTTTCAATTTAAGATTAGGAATAATATTTGCAACAAAATTTGTAATAACATCGAAATCAGTCAAAGTCGCAGTTTTTGAGATAAAAAAAACTGGAAAAATTCCTTTACTTTGAAACTAAAAACTGCCTACCAACTTTTTATTAACACATTTTAGTATGGGCGACTATACGTGCCTCCCGGCGCCAATTTTTTTTATTATAATAGAAAGTATTATTTACATCTGATTTCCAAATAATTAGGACTTATTTCCAATTAAAGTCCTAGTCTAAATGGCTAAATATTCGTAACTTTGCCCGATAACATTAACAAAAGTTTTTTTAATTTCACTAAAAATGAGTTAAATGACCTAAATACAAAATCATAAATGACCTAAATACAAAATATTTTCATGGTGTCTGTCTGTCTGTCCGTCTATCTGTCTGTAACACGATAACTCAAAAACCGCTAAACCGATTTTAACCAAAATTGGGCACAAAAATACTGTGGCACCCGAGAATCTGGCCATTAGTTTTTGGTGGGGGTGGGGGGTTGGTAAGGGGGTATGGGAAGGGGTTAAAAATTTTAAAAAATCGTAACTCCAAAATTACAGTAGCTAGCGAAACGAGGTTTTCAGTTTAAGACTAGGAATAATATTTGCAACAAAATTTGTAATAATATCAAAATCAGTCAAAGTCGCAGTTTTTGAGATAAAAAAAAAATTGGAAAAATTCCTTTCCTTTGAAACTAAAAGAACTGCCTACCAACTTTTTATTGACATATTTTAGTATATGCGACTATACGTGCCTCCCGGCGCCAATTTTTTTATTATTTAACCTATAATTTATTAAAAATAGATATGAAAACTTATCATTAAAAATTAATTTTTGATGACCATTGTACGCGTTCAGGGAACACAGGGGCTGACCGACCGCTGAGAATTTTGCTCAGCGGCTGACCGTTTTTGTGTGTAAAAATAGCTTGTTTAGGAAAGTTGCTTATTTGCTGCTGACCGTCCCTGAACGCGCACATTGACTTCCAAAAAGTAAAAATTTGTTATCTCAATGTTGTATTGATTTTAGCTTCTTCGCTTGATGATAGTAGCTCAGATGACAGTGGAAACTGTTGTATGTTTGGCAGAGAAAAAAATAAGAAAATAATAGTTCTGAAAGTTAGGGAGGTAAGTTTTGTTTTACTGGAAATTGCAATATTAAAAAAAAATTGTTGTAATGTGGTGTGTATAGATTAGGGCTAGAACTCACTGACGACCAGGTCGCAACGACCCGGCCGTCGGCTGGCCGGATGTATTGCGTTTATAGCTGCGGCCAGATGAACGACCAGTTTCAACAGAGCTGTCAGATCTAACGATTTTTTACGTTTTACCAATTAGAAAATATTGTTTCAGAAAGAATTAAGTTTCAGAAATGTTAAAATATCCGAGTTAACTAAAAAGCGAAGTTGCTATTCATGAGCTTATTAAATGTTCTAATATTAAATAATGCATTTAAAATATTCTTGGATTTTTCGTTTATAAATACTGGTGTGGTAAATGGAGTAAGTAAAATCTCCAACCCCGACTACACGATAACGTCGTTATTTCCATGTTTTTCAAATCCGCGATGCTTGCTATTCCATGTCATTTCACAACAGAATATTCTACATTCTACGTCTACGTAATTTAATATGTGTAGAGTGAGACATGTAACTCGTGAGATTTTCAGCATTATATCAATAAAGGACAAAAAAAGTATTGTTCCTAAAGGTGCGTCCAGACTTGAGCATTTTAGCCCGAACAAACCGAGCGCGCACGAACAAGCAGAACAAATAGGCCGAACAAAAAGCATTATGTACGCACGACCGACAAAAAGGGAGATATTCTGTCTTTTTTCTACTGATATGGACTATGTATGGACTTTTACTGATGGCTCTTATCGACTTTAAAAGTAAATATATTAGGGCCATCGTAAAAAAAGGTCCTCAGACACTGACTCTAAATATAAGCAGATAGAAAGTTTAGCTTCCAGTTATTTCAATGTTTACAATATAAATTCCTCTTTTTATTGTTACTGAGAATCTACAACAGTAAATACTTCTATTTTTATGAATGTTTAAGTTACTTTTACTCTTAATTTTTTTTTAAATAATGTACCTAGTAGAAATACAGTCTAATGGACCCTGTTTGAAAAACGTTAAATTAAATAATTTTTAAAATACAGTTGTCCTCCTTGTACATGACTACAATACAACTAAAAAAACTAATTTAATAATTTAATAAAAAAAAACAAGTGGTTGTAGAAAAACTTTAAATATGATTTTTTTTATTTTTTAACATCGAAACTCGAAGGTATAATAACAGGTATCATACCGACCATAAATAGAGTATGTCATATAAAAATGTTTTGAATTTTCATTAGAATCGATCCTTGATAAAAAAAAGGGACTAGATTTAAGTTTCCCTTTGATCCAGTCTGTATACTATTTCTTTGGATTTTCTACACGTGTGCAAAAACTACACTAAAACACTATATCTTATAGAAAATAAAATATTGTGCGTTGAATTTGAGGGATTTCATCTGAAAAATTATTAATTTGGAAGAAAACCGGCAACAAGCGGCAGAAAATAATAATATTTCAGTGCAGTCTACTGGCCGCCAGGACGTTAGTGTGCACTGTATCATTTGATTTAATGGTTTTAGAAGTAGCAGCGGTCTGACCGGTGCGACCTGGTCGTCAGTGTGTTCGAGCTCTTATCGTAAATAATGATAAAAAACTGTTAAATTAACGGTTTAATAATTAAGCCAATATTGTTTTTTTTTCTCAATATTTAGGCGGACGAACGAGGGAATATGCCAGAAGCCGAAATTATTGACTTTTCTAAAGTCAATAATCTTAGGAAAAAAAAGAATGAGAATGATACTTCAAATAATATTGAAGAAGCAGAGAAGTGAGTGTTCTAAAAAAGTAATAACAAAGTAAATATGAATTTTATTGTTTCAGAAGGATAAATGATCCAGAACCAAAACCAAGTACGTCTAAGGAAGAAGTACAAAAATCATCACAGAATTCTGGCAAAAGGAAACTAACTGATAGTAACTCTGAGTTATATCAGAAGAAGAAAAAGTTTGATGAATCTACAGAAAGGTATTTTTATTATGTCTGATTAGTCTTATTATATACTAAGTCAGTAATTTTAGTAATTTAGATTTATCAAAACCAAGTACATCAAGCTTAAGTCACTCAAGCAAGAAGGATAACAAAAATACTGCCTCAGATAGTGATGCGGACAGGTACAAATAAAAAAACCAATTTTGTTAATTGTACAGGGTTGTTCACCACATACGACACAGAGTATTGTAGCTAAACGATTAGATTTTTACAAATTGTAAGTTTTGGGTTTGTGAAAGTACTATTAGAGCTACAATTTAAAAATATTTTTACAAGATACAGAATGTCCCAAATAAATAAAAAATATCAAAGTTGTATTTTTTTTCAATGGAACACCCTGTATATTATTACATTTTTAGTTTCTACGATTAAAATAAAGGTAAATTTGATTAAAGTTTATCACACTTAAACCTTAGCGTTTCTGAAATATTTTCAATTTTATGAAATTGCAGTAAAAAATTTAAAGCTTCATTTCTCCAAGGGTATCAAAGTTTTTAATACTAAATATTTACTGAAGTTTATTTATTGATCAGTTATTGTGTTGCAATAATAAAAATAATACTACCTCATACAGAAAAAAGTGTCTAAAATTTTATTTTAAATATTTTCTAGTTTTAAACGGCAATGACTTGTTTAATTTAAATGGGATACCCTATCTATCAAATGGTGTTATGCCATTTTCTACCTATCTCTTCAAGATTTCGTAGAAAATACATTTTCTTATAATTTAGACCTCATTTATCAACAAAATAAAAAGCAATATAAACACTAAATCACCACAATACTCCAAAACACTTTTACTTTTACACTGGACGCGCGTTTCGCTAACCATGTTAGCATCATCAGCAGATGATTATAAACTAGCGAAACGCGCGTCCAGTGTAAAAGTAAAAGTGTTTTGGTGTATTGTGGTGATTTAGTGTTTATTTTGCTGCGTAACACCAAAGGTTCCAACCCTCAACTGTAATCTCATTTATCAATATAACCATGGAATATTGACATTTTAGATTGTTTTTAAAGCAACAAATGTACAGGCGCTAAAAGCTATAATTTTGCAAGCCCATTTGTTTACAAGAGAAAACTATTTAAATCTTTATAAAAGAGTATACCATTAATTAAATATACCACCATTATTGCCGCCCAAATATTAATTAATTACATACTTAATTGTGTTAGTTAATAAATTATTCTAAATAAATGTGGATTTGAATCAGAAATTAATATAATAAGTTATGAAATTAAACGTATCTGTTGTTATAACCATTTGTCAAAAAAATTGCATTTGTCAGAAATTAATATAATGCATTTGTCAGAAATTAATATAATAAGTTATGAAATTAAACGTATCTGTTGTTATAAGCATTTGTCAAAAAATTAAATGAAATTTTTAAGGTATTACTTTTCCCACACTATGTAATACACATACAAAATTCAATTTTTTTGTATTTGGAGCAATTGTTATTAATCAACGCAAACAGTCAATTAATGTAGTTTGAATATTGGAATCATATTAATTGGTCCTCTAACAAATATTTAAACAGTTTTTTTTTAGTTTTTTTTTAATGAAATCAACTTTAAAGCCAATATTAGTATCTGTACTCTTTAAAAATTTGTTACATTTTTAAAAATAATCTAAAATGTCAATATTCCATGGGTATAGTGATAAATGAGGTCTAAATTATAAGAAAATGCATTTTCTAAGAGAACTTGAAGAGATAAATAAAAATTGGTATAATACAATTTGATAGACAATTAAATTGTGTATCTGATTCTCATAAAATAATACAGGGTGTTCCGTTTAAATTAAACAATTTATTGCCGTTTAAAGCTAGTAATTATTTAAAATAAATTTTTAGACACTCTGTATAAGGTAGTAAAATTTTTATTATTGCAACACAACATTTAGTAAATAGAAATTATTCACTACAATATTTGGTTTTAAGAACTTAAATACGCCTAAAGGAAGCATTAAAATTATTACTGTATTTTGACAAAAACTTAAATATTTCAAAAACGGTAAGATTAAAATGCGGTAATCCTTAATCAAATTTACCTTTATTTTAATCGTGGAAACGAAAAATATAATAATATACAGGGTGTTCCATTTAAAACAATACAACTTTGATATTTTTTACTTATTTGGGACACTCTGTATCTTGTAAAAATATGTTTAAATTGTAGCTCTAATAGTTCTTCAACGAACCAAAAACTTATAATTTGCAAAGATCTAATCGTTTAGCTACAATACTCCGTGTCGTATGTAGTGAACAGCCCTGTATACTAAGTCAGTAATTTTAGTGATTTAGATTTATCAAAACCAAGTACATCAGGCTTAAGTCACTCAAGCATGAAGGATAACGAAGTTTTAAAAAAGACTGCCTCAGATAGTGACGCGGACAGGTACAAATAAAAAGACCAATTTTGTTAAATGTATATCGTCAGTTTCCAAAAAAATCCTTTATGGGTATTTCGCCACTGCACTGCAAGAAAATCTACAAAATAAAATAATTATTTTTTGTAAACACTTCTGCGTTAAACCTAAACGGACGCTGCTTGTCAGAAGTTATGTTTATAGTAATACAAATTTGCCTAACAAAGAAAAAAAATGCTTAGCGTTTCGGAAAGTTTCTTTGATTGATTCGTTTTTGTGCGTCAGTCCATTGGTGTGCTTGCATTGCGACCAATTGGGCATTCCATTTTATATTTATAACCAAATATATGTTTTGACAAGACTTTGACAGTTAAAACAACAAATTACAACAGATTATATATTGATTATTATATGACTTGAAAGACCACGGCACTGGAATTAAGTTTTATGTGACCTTGAACTGATTAGTTCACATGGTAGCGACCGATGAATCACTCTCAAACATTCGTGGCGTTTACTATAAGAGGTGTCCGTAGAGGGTACGGGGAAAAATGAAATTCTGTATACAGGGTGGTCCGAATTGTATTCCGGAAATTTCAGCAGCATATTCTGCAGAAAAAAAATAAGTAAAAAAGTTCGTATAAATGTATGTCCTAAAATGCTTAATTTCAGAGATACAGGGTGTAGAAGTTTCATTTTTATTTCGATTTTTTCTAAATAATTTCTGAAGTAACGTCAATGTTTGGATGAAAATTGGTGTCTGGTAGTTTTTTGACATGAGAAATTTGATTTTGGTGTCAATATGACTCCTACTAGTAAAGGGCGCCACCTACAAGTGTTTTAACTGTTTTGAAGCGTAATAACTTTTTGTTCGTACCTGTATAAAACTACTGAGCGAAAGAATATACATCTCTGTGACTTTTTACGTAAAAAATATCTCTTTGTAAAAATCGCTACGAGTAACCGTTCTTAAGATATTTAACATGGAAATAGACAATACATGTCATTATTGACGAAAAATAAACACGTTGAGTAGATAGTTATTTCACTGAAATAATAAATTTAGGAAATTTTAATTTTTTTAAATTAATCATAAATTTTTCTGCAAAAAATTATAATAAAACAGTTTCGGTGTTGACAGGTATTGATAATTTCAATTCCAAATATCTCGAAAACCATTGCACGTAGCGATTTTTACCCTTTTCACGTAAAAAACGTCGCAAATGTATATTTTTTTACTCGGTAGTTTTATACAGGTACGGACAAAAAGTTATTACTATTTGTTAAGGAAACTTAATATTTCTTATAAAATTATTTTCTTTTATGTAATTTCTTAGATTAAGATTAATTATTTTAATTTCTTTAAATTTTAAATTGCCGCACTTATACCTGCTTCCTGCAACATCAGTGTACGCATGCCCGAACACTAGGAAGTGTGGCATACAGTCTATTACAAACCGTCGTACGACGAAATTGGTCAGCTAACCGGTACGCGCCGAAAGTCTGAACTTAAAAGTTAAAACCCTTCAAAAAACGATTTATGTTAGTGTATGTGTGAAAAATTAGCGCTGAGAAGATCAAGATCGAGAAGAGGGCCCTCTGAAGCTGTCTGAGACGACCATTAAAGGTAGGAGCAGGTTTCTCATTTCTCTGTGCGGTTTCTCCCAGCTATTAACGTAATTTACATTGATAAAATAAGACCAGTCAAACTAAAATTTAAAATTAATACAGTCCACAACTGCATTTCTGCACATTTTTGGTCCATACATAGCCGGATTTTATTTTATAATTCTTTTTAATATCAGTTTTCAATTTTGTGATTTAAAATCCATACATTCCACATATACCAAGCCATATAGTTTTTTGGTTCAATTTTTGTACGAGCGCGCAGCGATACAAATACGCACCAATTTACTTGGTGTCGTAGAATTGTACTATCGTATTGTACTGTCACAATTGTACTTAGTACATTTTTTTATATAGTTTCACATTTGTTTATAAACAATATTTTTTACTGATATTAATTCTTGCAGTTTTACCTGAACTCAATTATTATTATTTTAGTTTTAATATTATAATTGCATTTATTCAAAGCAGATATAATATTAAAATATTTTCACTATGTCAGATAAAATTTCTAAGTATGATTTAAAACGAACAACAGCGTTTAACCGTTTAAAAGAAACTTATGACATTGGTGTTGCAATATCTAGTGACAACTCTCAAAAATCGATATTTTTAGCTAGAGTAGAGACTATTGACAAGGTGTATGAAGATTTTATGACTTATCACAATCAAATTATTTCTCTCATATCAGACGAAGATTTTAAAAAATATGATGCTTTACGTATATCAGCTGACAACGCATTCTACGGATCTAAAGCTATAAAATATCAAATTGTAGGTGACAATTCTTTGACAAATAATTCGACCAATGTTTCCACTCCTAAAATTCTGCAAAATTACCGAAAATTACTCTTCCTATATTTGAAGGCGATTTCAAAAGTTGGTCTGGATTTTTTGATCTTTTTAATACTTTAATACATGAAAATTCACAATTGTCAAATGTAGAAAAGTTCCAATATTTACTAACGTCATTGGGTAAAGAACCTCTATCTGTAATTAAAGGACTTCCAGTCACTGAAAATAATTATACAGTTGCTTATACTGCTATTAAAAATCGATATCAAAATAAAAGATTGTTGGCTACTTATCATTATAATGAAATCTGTCAAGCTGGACAGGTCAGAAAAGGAACTTGTACTGAACTTAGAAACCTTTTAAATATTTTTTCCGAAAATATTTCTGCGCTACGCGTTTTGCAATTTCCTGTTACTCATTGGGATTTTCTCTTATTTAATATGTTATTGCAAAAATTAAATGTTTCTATTAGGACTGATTTTGAAGTTCAAAATACTGTCGAAATTCCGACATATTCAGATTTAACACATTTTTTGGAAAATAAATGTAAAGCCTTAGAGTCAGTTCAGTTTACTACTTCATACAATAATGAACATTATAAGGATAAGAGCAAACAATCGTATCAATCCTCTAGTTTTTCATCTAATAAAAAATCTTCAGAAATTAAAACTGGTTATCCAGCCTTTATGACAACAAGTAATAACAATGCCACACCATATCAATCTAATAAGGGGGACAAACTGAAATGTGTACTGTGTTCATCTTCACATGCATTATACAGATGTTTTTCCTTTCTTTCAAAAACACCGCAGGACCGGTTAAACTTTGCTAAACAACACAATTTATGTACAAATTGTTTGTTATCTTCCCATTCTGTACGAAAATGCAATTCTTCTTTTAAATGTAAAATTTGTGGATCTCCTCATCACACATTATTGCATCTGGATAAAGCTATAGATAGTTCTTCATCTAATACTCCAGTCAATTCAAATTTCAATCACACTGATGACCGTGCAATCCTAGAGTCAACTCCTGGCCCTTCTGTCAGTGCTATGGCGAGCACGTTATCTACTAAACAATCTACGGTTTTATTATCTACAGCCATTGTCGACATCAAAGATATTCGGGGAAACTTTCAACAAATTCGAATTCTCTTTGACTCCGCTAGCATGGCTAACTTTATTACAGAAAAATGTGTAAATCGTCTTGGATTACCACGTAAACGCTTTTCTATTCCCATTGAAGGACTTAATGGAATGTCGGCGCAAACAAATCAGGGCGTCACACATTGTACGATTAAACCATGTAATGATTCTAATCCTCTATTCTCTTTTGATAGTATCATTTTACCGAAAATTTGTTCTGACCAACCTAAGATAAATATAAATCCTTCGTCTTGGACACATATCCAGAATCTTAAATTAGCTGATTATTCATTTCATAAACCAGGTCCTATTGACCTTTTAGTTGGTGCTGAATTGGTACCTCATATTCTACGTTCGGGACGGGTTTTAGGTGAACCGGGTCAACCTGTTGCTTTAGAAACAATTTTCGGATATATTCTTCAAGGTATGGCAGTTTCTGACCATGTACCGTTACATAATTCAACTTTGCTAAGCTGCCATACTTCTATTGAAAGTAACTTAGATATTCAGCTTCAAAAATTTTGGGAAGTTGAGGAAATTCCTAAAATTTCTAGCCTGTCTACTGAGGATGTCCAGTGTGAGGAAATTTATAGATCGCTAACTTATAGAGATCAGTCTGGCAGATTCTGTGTACCTCTTCCGTTTAAAATACCGAATCCATTCTTCCGTAATACATGTTATCAAGCTCGTCGACTATTTACATCACTAGAGTTCCGGCTTGCTAAAAATCCAGAGCTTCGTAAAGCTTACTGTGAGTTTATGCAGGATTATCTCAACAATGGACATATGGTATTGATCCCCCCGGAAGACTATAACTCTCCTATAGCTTACTACATACCTCATCATTCTGTTATAAAAAGTGAGATATCTGGACCTAAGCTTAGGGTGGTTTTTAATGCTAGTTTTCGGGACACGAATGGAACATCTCTCAATGATTCTTTGTTTATAGGACCTAAGTTACAACAGGATATTGCTTCTATTCTTTTAACTTTTAGATATCATCTATATGTTTTTATTTGTGACATTAAGCAAATGTATAGACAAATTCTTATTCAACCACAATTTGAAAACTTTCAAAGAATCATATGGCGTTTTTCTTCAGATGAACCAATTCAAGAATACAAACTGCTCACAGTGACATACGGGGTATCGTCTGCTCCATATTGTGACGGTTCTGTTTAGTGCGGGCAGTGTATAGTTACGAAGGATCCAGACAAAGGAGCCGACGGCGGTAGCGGTCGCCAGCCCGGTGAAGAGGGGGGCGAGCGGACTAAAGGAGTCGAGGCGGCAGTCGGGTGTCGACCATGATTAGGGACACTTAGACTACGCGATTTTTTTAGTATTAAGTAAAAACTTTGTTATCTGAGTCAAATTAATAAATCGACCACTTGTGCACACGATTCGTCTTCTCTTCCTCAACCCGAACACCCAGACCCTGGGAGCAGTATCCGTCCAAGAGACTG